GGGTGCCCGCCTCTTGCGGTCCCGGGCAAGCTCCCGGGAGCCGCCAGCCTGGTCTCGGGAAGAGGGGGAGGGCTGGGAGGCATCGGGTGGGTGGTTCGAGCCATGCCAGGTGCAGGGTCTGCTGGCTGGGTGCTGGCAGGCTTGCACCTGGCACGGGCACCGTAGCCAGCCCGTGCCCCTTTAAGGGGTCCGGGGCCGGGAGGGGGGCATAGAGTTTCCCTGGTGTTGGCCAGAGTGGCCATCAGGGAAACCTGGGGAGGGCTAGCCTCCCACTAGTTCGAATTAAGGGGCTACACACCCCTTAATTCGAACTAGCTAGTTCGAATTAGGCTTAATCCTCGTAAAATGAGGATTTCCTAGTTCGAACTAAGCGCTCCGCTAGTTCGATTCAAATTCGAACTAGCGGAGTGCTAGTGTAGCGGCTATGAATGTTAGTTCGAACTAACATCCGTTAGTTCGAACTAACATTGTAGTGTAGACATACCCTCAGAAAGGTAGTCTACAACAGCATAATCAGAACTGATGCAAAGCCTCTTTCTGGCTGAATTTTATGGTTATAAGTTAGATTCTTCACATGGATGACCGCCCTTTTTTAAAAATTAAACAACATATTTCTGGGATATAGCAGATAAAGGTAGAATTAATAGATTGTCAGTTGAAAAGTTTTAATACATCACACTTAACAGTCTCATTTCCCACTTGGAACCAATCCAACTCTGAAGTATTATAACTTAAATTCTAAAGACATTGAAATCATCTTTGGGCCATCCACCATGGGCCATTTACACATAGTAATTTCCCAGCACACTTGAACCATGAGTTGACACAGGACCACTCTCTTTTTACCATGAATCCTACATGAGCTCTAGCCCTGCAACACTAAAGCTATAACCAGATTTTGGAACAAAACTAAAATAGGGTTTGTTTTTTGTCTGCACTGCAAGACTAAGACATGTTTTAACTCTATCACAGATGTAAGTGGGTCTCCTTAGTCTGCCCATCTGTATGTGGGTGAAATTTACTCAATGGGAATAAAAAGAACGTGAACACAGTCAAAACACATTAATATGGAATTGCTAACAAAAGTGAGTTTTTTGACAATTGCAGCATTAAGCTGTAATTAACCCATTTTCTTCTTACCTACAGATGTTGGCACAACACTCTCTCTTTATAGGAGACTATAAAGGCCAATAAGAGGCACCATGTATGCCCAGAAAGTATGTTGACTGAAAACAAAGGACCACCATCTGTTGTGAAATCAGTGCTGAGCTTCACAGTCTATGGTTAAGAGGATATTCCATTGCTAAACCAGCACAGAGCTGGATTATTTTGAAAAATCAAAAATAACTTCCCACTGCAAAAGCCAAGTTTTTGGTTCTTGTGAATAAGGATTAACATTCTGGGGGTGATGAGATTTTATAATGAATTCTTACCCCTTCCTCTCCATCATTACCCAAGGCTCATCAATATCTTTTGGTTCATATGTAGAAAGAAAACTAAAACCTCCAACTTCAGGATGGATTATTTACAGTAAAGTATGTTACCATAGATTGTGTTCAGAATTTTTTTTTCCACAGGAACGAAAGATTAATGTGACCGTTACTGATGGATGCAAGAGGAAAGAAATAAAATACTGTTTTAGGGATTGGCAATATTTTATTATTTATTACTAGAAGATTTACCCAACATTGCTCGAGTCCTCAACTCAATTAATTTTTATGTTTTGGGCACAGCTGGGAGAGGGTTGACTGTCCCCCAGCTGGGGCAGATCCAGGGTCGATCCCATCTGCCAGGGTTCCGTTCATGACCTCCAGACCCTGGGGAGCCAGCACTTTGCTCATGGCCATTGGCCCGGGCTCCATTTTTCCCTAGTCTGGCAACACTCCTGGCTGTAGCCAACTGGCTTTTCCCTATGGCTAGATCTAGACTATGGGGCTTTATCAGAAAAAGCTACGCAAATTGTGCTCCGCAATTTGCATATATTTTTCCAATCACTTTTGCAGAAGCGGCTTTTCCAAATTACAGCGGGTCAGCCTGTACTTGCTTACAAGATCAAACTTAAAAATTCAAAGGTATCACAGCACACTATTACTGAAATTTTTCTTACTTTTTCATTTTTACCATATAATTATACATCAATTGGAATATAAATATTGTATTTACATTTCAGTGTATAGTATACAGAGCAGTATAAACAAGTCATTGTCTGTATGAAATTTTAGTTTGTACTGACTGCAAGTGCTTTTTATGTAGCCTGTTGGAAAAACAGGCAAATACCTAGAGGAGTCGATGTACTCTCGAAGACATCTATGTATCCCTGATTAAAAATCACTGTTAGAGCATACTAAAGAACCTTAGTGCCAGGGCCGGACCGAGGTACGTGCGAGGTGGACTACCGCCTGGGGTGCCCCATTGTAGGGGGCACTGCACAGGGCTGCCAGGCCAGGCGGGGATGGCACCGTGCATGCTCCGTGCGCCCAGGACAGGGCTATGCATGTGCTGGGCACCCGGGGGCAGGGCCGCGCATGTGTCACACTCCCGGGGGCGTCGCCGCACTCCCAGAGCCCGGGGTGTGCTGATGGCTCGGGCCTGCACTGTGTAGTGCACAATGTGAAGTGCATTAGTACATTTTAAAAATCACACCCCTATAAATCACACTACTGCTTTGTGTAGACAAACCTTTAGGTAAAGGTAACTTTCTAGTGTTTGTCTGGTATTAATAGGATATGTACATAGGATAGCTAGTTCAAAACAGTTATCTCATTAGGTTTGAGAAAGTGCTGTTAAGGTATGAATTTTCATAATTCATCTCTATTTTTCTGTTATGTCTGAGTGAATTTAATGTACATGAAGGATATCAGATCGACAGCTCAGGATCATGAAGTCTTGTATTACAAAAGAGCTGTGTTCTGGCCAGCAGTCCTATAAGCATCCCCACAATACCCCAGTAGTGTGCCAGAACTCTCTTATGTGATGATAACACCTTCATGGATGAGAGAATAGTTCTCTGTGCCCACTCAGCCCTTGGGAAATCTTGTAAATGCCATCAAGGCAGGGGACAAGTATGACGATAGTTTTCCATAGTGAAAACTTGTGCTTAAGGGACTTGATTGACCCCTCCCCACTCACTGCAACTAGATCTCAAACAACTATTACTGGTGGTAACTTCCAGCAAACATCAACATAGGCTAGATTTAAACCAACATGGTAGCGGTCTCTATACATAATTGCGAAACGTTAACAAAAATGATTGAATGCTAAAAATCTGCAAATTCCAAGGGTGTGTTTTTCCCTGTGGATTTTCCCCTCAATCTGAGGTTTTGTACAAAATCTAAACCTTCATAAATAAAATAATGTAGCTTTTCTTGTTCTGAAAATTACCTCATAATAGCGTTGCATTAGTTACATTCTGATGTGTAACACACAAACAACACTGCTTAAAGTCAATATCAGTTGTGATGTTGAATTCAAAAGGTTTTATGAGTCTGAAAGAGGAGAAATTCAGTGTAATGGGATATTAAATCAAGAGCTTAATAAGGGTAATTTTACATACTAGCATATCACTACTTCTTGTAGCAGAAACATGCAGCTAATGTACTAAACCAGTTGGTCTGGGAACATTGAAAGACTTGATCTTTTACTGCCAAATTTGTGTATCTTCTTTCAAAAGTGAAAGCAAGTCTAGATGTACCCAAACAGGAAAAAGGGTGCACATTTTTAATATTCAAATAATCAGATATTTGGGAAGGTTTTAAATACTTATTTCTCTCTGGTAATATGACCAGGCAACTCCATTCAGGGAAATGTCTCAATTCTCTGGAAATGTCCTGAAATTCCAGTCATTTTAAATTATTATTTGAAATTGGTATTTTGTTGCAAATATCAGTATACTGGCTTCCCTTTTTTTGTTGGTCCCTGTCTCTGTCCCCTTCCGCACTCTTCTCCCCACTTCTGTCAAGTAGAAATTAAGGCCCTCTTGCACCCTGACACATTATACTTTGGTTTTAGAAAGAAAGAGAAATAGTTTAGAATAGTTATGCCATTAGGTCAGGAAACATGATCTCAGTTACCAACCACACCACTCACATATTAAGTCAAATACTTAAATGAAAAATCTTTGCCTCAGCAAGCACACGATTAATGCCAAGACAGACATCTGTTCACACAGTTTTTGCAATACATCATTTTGAATTTCCATCAAATTTATAAACATCAAGCCTCATTGGAAACAATTGGAGAGCTAAATTAACAGAATAAGTTGTTTATTGAAAGATTTGCCAACTTCTTTTCACAATAAGTTACAATGATACAATGTGCTTGGGCTGAGAGCAGGGTTTGCATCTGGACCTTAAGTGTTAAAAGCAAGTTTGTATCCTGCTTCATTAGCTAGCACTATTAGTAGACTCCTCCTCTACCTATGTAGATCATCTACCAGAGGGGAAACAAAGACTCATGTTTTTATAGTGTGGATTACACAAGAAACTAGGCACCTTCCTTGTTCCTACATATACAATATTGCTTAAAAGCAAGTGGAGGCTAACAACCCTACACAGTACTTAGGGGTTTGCAGTGTTAATTGCCTATAAAAAGGGGCTTTGAAAATCATCCTCCATTCCCCCTACTAGTGTGGAATATTTCACTTATATTGATATATGTATAATTATGGTGGGAGGGTTGCAATGATATGAGTTGTAAATCATTCTGACCAGTCGTTGTATACTCTGCCTCTAGTAAGATACTGTGCAGTCTTTAACTATAACCCATTAAGAGGGACTTTCATAGCAACTTTAGGAGATTGGCACTTTTTTGTTAACTGTACAAAAGGTTATGAATCTTAAAGCCAACCTGAGAGAAGACTCACTGTTGAGTTTGGTTTGTTATTTCTGCTGTGTTTACATTTTCATGTTAATAAAAGGACTCTGTTCCCACACCCTTTTATAATTCAGTTTTCTCTGTCTGTAGTGCCAGGACCAAATTCCTCTGGTGATAATGGCATTAATATTGCCATGATAATGATGGCCTGGGTGGTTATCGCTCTTGTCTTGTTCTTGCTGAGACCAACTAATCTAAGGGGATCCAACATAGCTGGAAAACCAGCCAGTCCACATAATGTAAGTATGTCTGTGTCTTTAAGCACCCTTCCTACAAAATCTAAACAAAATGTCTAGATTTAGGAACACTTAACAAGTACACTACATTATATTGATTAACTTTCCTCCCAAAGCTGTTTTCTTATGCTTTCTACTGCTATTTTTGGTACTACATTAATATTAAAATGTATATTTTCCCTTCTTCAAAAGTCTTTCAGACTGGAAATAATTCTTTTGTTTAAAATCTGGTTATACTGTGAAAAGTAACTGTAAAGACAGTATCTTCTCAGTGAATAGATATGTTCCCTGTGCCTATTGAGAGAACTATATTGATGAAACTCATCAGGCTATGCCTGCACTGGCACTTTTGTTGTTAAAACTTTTGTTGTTCAGGATGTGAAAAACATCCCTCTGAATGACAAAAGTTTTAACGGTGAAAAGCACTAGCATGAGTGGAACAGTGCTTTATGGACAGGAGCTATACTCTAAGCAACAAAGCTACCACCTCTCAATCAGGTTGTTTTATTTTTTTGCAGGGAGAGCTCTCTCCTGGAGATAGAATGACTACAGTGGTGGGTGTGGGGCAATGCAGGGGAGGCCTTTTAAATGAAGTAAGAGCTGGATGGCTCTTACTACATTTAAAAGGCCAAGCCGCAGCAGTTTGGACCACTTGCGCTGGGTCCCAGACCTACTCCCACTGTGGTTCTGCAGTTTCAATGTAGTAGGAGCCAGGCTACCTGTACACCCAGCTGCTACTACATTTAAACTGCAGAGCTGCAGTGGCCACTTATTGACTAATCATGTACTCAATACAAATTGTATCATTTATTTGATACTTAACATCATTATTGCCCCTGTCCCCAGCACAATCCTCACAGCTTCTACTGGCCATGTTCTAATCACTAGGTCATGACCCATGAGCTACCACAGTCACCATTCAGAGCAGAATTGCACTTTTAAAGCAGAAAAACAAGCAGAACATAGAACTACTGAGGCCACCCTTAAAGTCTTCTGTACAGAATAGCAAAAATGGGATAGAATGTGCTGTGATGACCAAACAGGTGGATTTTGTTGGAAATAATTTTTCTAGCCATTTTAAGTTTTATTGTGACTTAATTTTCACAGAAGCGCTTATTGGTCAAAAAGTCATTTGGCATTTGTTACATGCAAAATATCAGCATAAACATATATGCTCTTATATTCTATACCCTAGCAACAATTACAGTTATAAATATTGGTTGAATACTCACAGCATAGTCAGTCCTGAGAAACACCTTTGGTATGTCTAGACTGCACTCCTCTGCCAGAAGAGGGATGCAGATTAGGCTGGGTGAAATTGCTAATGATGCGGGGATTTAAATATCCCGCACTTCATTAGCATAAAAATGGCTGCTGCTTTTTTTCAGCACAGAGCTTTGTCGGAGAAAAGCGGCAGTCTAGAGGCTGATCTATCACTAAATAGAGCCTTTTCCGATAGATCCTGTATACCTCTTTTTATTGGAGGAGGATTTAAAAAACAGGAAACATGTATCTCCTTTGTATTAATTCTTTTGATAAGTCATGCTTAGCAGATTAGAATTTCTAACCAGTGCATTTTTTTCCTTTCGTACAATCAGGGACAAGAACCACCAGCCCCACCTGTGGATTAGACCTTATAAAGCTGGAAATGCTAAAACTTGCACGACCAAATGAACGAAAGTGACCAGAGTACAAAATCCTATTCAATACTATTTTCCTTTTGCATTTACATAAAGCAGAATGATATTATTTTGGTATTGAACACCTAGTAGATATTTCAGTTTTAAATTAATTCTTGCTTTATATATTATTACTATTCCTAGAAGGTGATATTTGAATAAACAATAAAAAGTTGCAGAAGGTGGGGTTTTATTGTTCTTACTGTGGACATTCCACTCATTCACTTTTTGCTACAATGATTACAATACATAATTTTTTGCAATGGTCCACTGCAAAGTTGAAGGAAATTAAAATCTTTGTCCATTTATATTCATTAAAAGTTAATTTTCCACGTAATTCTCTTTTTTGCTATATATTTTAGAAACTGAGTTGCAAACATTAGCATGAGTTTTGTGGAGGAAAAAATGAAGTTACTTTGCCTTGCTGTTCAGAGCAGCTTTAAGTCTTTGGACCGCTAAACTAGTTTTTAGGGCTGTTGCAAAAGCATGGATCATTTGCTGTAATGAAAGTATATATATGCGTGTGTGCATGAGGCTGTGTTGGGGAATTAGCACAATCAAAAACTTGTATGTGAAGAATTTACACACACAATTAAATCACCAAAATTAAATTTAAATACATTTTCCAGTAAGTGAGCTGTCTGATTCAGTATATTTTTAAAGACAACTAAAACTTGGGCAACTAAATTCTAACAGGAAATTGTTTATAAACTTTAGAAAAAGAAAATTGTAGTGAAAAGTATCTATTACAATTTTCTGTCCTGAGTATAAAATGTTATCTTAAATTTTTAGCTGCAATATGTAATGTACTAAATAGGATCAAAATGTTATCAGTCATTAACTTCAGAAAGTTATTGTCATTTACTTACAATTTGGTTTTTACATATATAGTATCATAGATTTTTATTCTTATCTATACTTGTTGGACTATTCAATATACAAATTGCTGGTGAAGACCTACAGCATATATTTTCTCTTTAATGTGTGTGTGTGCGTGCGTGCATATGCATCTTCTGTTTGAACCTAGTGAGAGTGACTTTTTAAGCATACATTAAATAATTTAAGACCATTTTAAAGATGTATAGAATTGTAGCATTGTATATTTTTCTTATCAATTTGAAAAATTAATGAGAACAATGTAAAGGACAGTTTTGTGTTACCAGATGGCTAAGGAGCTGATTTCCACAAAGGTAAGAAGAACAAATATGTGGGAGATTAATGGCCTGATTCTGCAAGATTTTACTCACATGAGAGCTCCTTATTTTTGCAAAGGGGCTACTCACATGAGAAATGATTTGCATAATTGGGCCCTGAAAGAATATCATGTTGGATCTCTGTTATCAGAGATATGATTCTCCTACTCAGAATAAATAGCAGCTCAGCCAACTTGTCTTGTAAAGATACAATATAGACCAGAGAAAATGTTTTTAGAATTTGATGTATGTAACTCTGCCACTGAGCTTCTGTAGCAGGGTGCTATGAGCCTATAGATAGGAAGCATTAGTAAAATGCTATTGGGCAAATTCTTTGTTAGCCTGATGCAACCTTACTAAAAATCACTGGTGTGCATATGGGATGTGCCCAGGCACACCCTAATGTCTTAGGGTTGCCAGGTGTCCAGTTTTCTACTAGACAGTCCAGGTTTTTGGGGCTCTGTCCTGTAAAAAAATCCAGAAAATACTGGACATGTGCATTGTCCAGTATTTTCTGGTTTTCTGACTGGGCTCCCGGAAGCCTGGCTGGGAGGTGGGGCCCGATCAGCGCTGGGAGCCCTGGTTGAGTGTGAGGAGGAGGGGTATCCTAGTCCAGGCTCCTGCACGCTGGTCAAACACATGGTGGAGCCGCAGCCGGACTGACTCGCGCTTCGCCTGGACTGTGCGAGGGGTGGGAGTGCCCTGTGATCTGCACTACCCGGGTCAGTCCCGCTCCCCACCGGCTGATACGCTCCTTCCCCCACCTCCTCCTGGCCGGCCGGTTGGTTCTCCCCCACTTCTCCTCCCGATCTTTCCCAGCCAGCCCCGCTGCCCCCA